GAGCAGAAGAACTGAGTTTCTGGCTGACTGATAATCAACGCACAACCCAAACCGCTGGTCTCAGCGTGGTCAGCGAATAGGACTATGATTGGCTGAATTTAAGTAAGCATCACGTCATTTCAGCGAAAACGGCTAGGATTGGCCAGATCTAAGATGACATTTGCAGTCAAGGCTGCGTTCCAAACCTACGCTCCAGTTGCAGCAAATGTCAAATTCGATAGAAGTTTCATATATTTATGTAAAAATTTAAACGTCAAAATGAAAAGTTGCATTTGGAGCGTAGGTTTGGAACGCACCCAAGCTGTCAAAAGACCACTGCGTATAATGTATGGGTGCGGCCAGAGTGCACTCAGATTCAGATTCAGATTCAGATTTCGAAAACAAGCGCGAGAAATAAACAGTGTAGTCGAAGGGTACGGCCAGAGTGCACTCCTGATTCAGATTCAGATTCAGACTCAGAAAACAAAGCGCGAGAAAAAGCAGGCAACCTGCTTAGACTACACTGTTTATTTCTCGCGCTTGTTTTCGAAATCTGAATCTGAGTCTGAATCTGAGTGCACTCTGGCCGCACCCTATCAACCTAGTGTCAAGACATCGTATTGGTAATATAATGACTTCAAATATTCTAGGTCCTTGCGAAAATAACTTCTTTGTTTTGATATAACCTTTTTTAATCGCGGTGCTAAAAATTGTTTCAAAGGATACTGATACATAATTATAATGATTCAAAGCTTCTTGCATAGTATAGTTTTATTTGTTAAAATGTTTGTCCATGTTAAGCCAAATATACAAAGTGGGCATTGCCCTTTGGCACGTATGTTCCTTATGAGGTCTAGGGGTGCACTGAGAAAGGATTTTTCAAAATTCACCCCTGATAGGCTTATTATAGGGGATGAAAGATTGTATGAAAAATCTTTATAATAATAGAGATAATAGACTTGAAACTTGCGCGCATGCTGATCTTAATAGATTATAAATATTGTAATGTTTAGTTTTCCTAAACCACCCCCTAAAAAGAGATTGTCAAAGTGGGTGTCAGTGTTTTATGTGGGTGAATTTTAACGCGCATTTCGACTGACTCAAATTTTGTATTTTCGAAGAAGATATATATCACACATAAGAGAGTAAAAAAGGGGATTAAAGTTTGTATGAAAAATCTTATTCTTTGAGTTATTAGACTTAAAACTTGGTAGGAATACTTATCTAAATATATTATACAGTTTTCCATTTTTGTTTTGCCCCCTATCCTTCCTTCTTACGGCTAAAGCTCGTAGAAATTTTGGAAAAGAGTACCTGTCGACAACAGGTAAAATTATGGAAGCAAAAGTTATGAAATCGCCGTGCAATGATAAATGTAGACTGAGCTGCTTTTCCAAACTTTCTGTTGCGGTGAGAAAACGGATATTTGATAAATATTGGGTTTTGAAGACACGTGAACGTCAACGTCGTTACTTGTCGTCCTGTACTACATACAGTTTTGGAAAATATCGCAGAATTAAAGCTACTGCGTTTAAACCTAGGAATCCTAATTGCTGCTTTCATTTAACAAAAGATGAGTAAAAAAACAGAGTTTATAAGACATTCTTTATTAATACTTAAGGGATTTCACAAAGCACACTGTGCACAGTCATAAACGCAAAAACTACTGGTACCACACAATTGATAAACGAGGAAAACATTCAAATCACTGCAAACTCGATCCTGAAATTAAACGATCCGTGCGAGATCATATTCAAGCAGTTATAAGTAAATACAGTGACGGTGGTCTAACTATCGTCGAAATGCACAAAAAATACCTGGAACAAAGAGAAAGAGCTAATAAGGTAGTTGCAAAATACATCCTTTATGCAAAAATTTTTAAAACTGTATTTAATATTTTTATCTTTTGTTTCCAATAAAGATTAATGACGTCAATGTGAATCTTATACCTAAATGCGCAAATGGTGACGAAATCAAACTATAAGAAATAAAAAACAAGGATAAGCACCAATCCAACTACTAACCATGAGCATTGTCTGAAAATATATTGTTATTACTTTTAAAACATGAGGTTCGCACTAGAATTCTCCTGGACGACCTCCGTGGCTGAGTGGTTTATACGCCGGGTTTCATGGTGTCGCCGACTCGAGAGGTCCTGGGTTTGAATCCCGGTGGGGCTAGATGTTTGTGTGATGAATGCGAGCATTTGTACTCTAGTTCTGAGTGTTAATATATATATGTATTTCTATACAAATATGCTTATATAAGTGCAATATATGTATTCTATCCGTTACTCTAGCATCACATAACACAAGCCTTACAGTGCTTACTTTGGGACGAGGGTTATTAGTGTGTTGTAAAAAAAAACTGACCGTAACACAAAAATCGCTGTAAAAATACTGTTAACTAGTTTCTTGTCTATTTACTAATAAATAAATATTCAAACATTTAATAGTGTAAAGTTATTCTGTTTTTTTTTATGTAATCTATCCTTCTCTTTGTAGCTTCTACTTTCATTTTAGTATTTTGTTTATATGAAATTGTGCCTTCTGTATAAAATTGATTTCGTCATTATTGTTTGCGCCGATACTGTAATAAGTATTTCTTTCAGGACCATTTTTTGGTACATCTTCACGAGGCGCTAGGATCATATCTCTTGCTGGCTACAAGTTTCTCAAACATTCTTCTACCAATGGTCAAAAGGTCCGCTGGTGGTGTGGAACCCATAACAACAAAGGCTGCCGTGCTGTCATCTTCACTGTCTACAATCAAATCGTCAAATGCAGGAACGAGCACAATCATCCACCGCCCGAGAGATTTTAATATTTGAATTTCATTTAGTTGTCTTATCACAATAAGTACCTACATTCTCTATACTCAAAAATGTTTAACATTTAATTTTTTTAAGGTTTTACAATGAATACTTACTTAATCGTTGTAAATTTTACAGCAACTTAGACTAGTTTAATCACAAATTATAATTTTAGTGTATTGCACTGCGAACTATTAATGCATAAACAATGACAAGTGCTTAACGGTAAACTTTAGCAACGTTAGACGAAGATGGAACAGGTTAGGTAGAAACGACGACGTATTAAAAACAGCATTAATTTAGTATTAGGTATCTATCTTACAATGGCAACCCGACTTAAGTATTAAATGAAAATAATATTAATGGTGTTTTATTTTAAAGATTTAAAAACAAATGAATCAATATAATCACGATGCAATGGCACTGAGACACTTTCCAGAATCGAAACAAATTAACTCGGACGCGGAATCTAAAACGTTTAATATTTTTTTAACAGATCGTCCGACGTTCTTCACTTCTAAGATCGGAGCTAGGATCATGCAAGTCCGTGGGTACCACTACACCCGACGCTCTGTCTGCTCCTCCAAAGTTCGATGGTTGTGCACCGAGAGTCGAGACAGGAATTGCCACGCCGTGGTCGTCACCATAGGTCACACCATCATCGACCGACACAACAAGCATAACCATCCTCCTAAATAACATTGCGCTATACCTCTCCGCGAAGACCGTGGGGCGGTATAAAGTCCGATTGATCTCCTTTCTCATAATTTATAGCGAGCTAGATTTTTCTGGATTTAATATCGATTAGTAATTAGTAGAAGTACGTTGTACTATAACAAATGTGCTACAAATCCAAAATTTGGTATCATGAAAAACCAGTATCCATAAAGAATTATTTTATTTATATATAAATCAATGGCTGTTGACAAAGTTCATCCATATTGAATTCTGAATGCAATCACCCAGAGCTCCATATAATAATGTAAATGTTAGAGTTATAGCTAGAATAAATATAATTGTATATAAAATTAACTATGACTGATATAAAATCATGTTCATTATTATAATATGAGATCTGCTGTACATCTACACTTGTTAATATCCAGTATAATCTTCCTAAAGATAAGGATGTATAAAATTTAGAGTGGTAAGTTTTTAATCTGTATCTATGAGCAGCTATATTTTATTTTTTGTATGTATGTACTGTTTTTTTTTCTAATATTTTATATGTTTGTTTGTATTTCTGTATGAAACCAAAGAGTAAAAAATATTATTTTCCTTTATATCTTTCTCACAATCTCTTTAAAATGCACTTGCCTGTTTTGATATGAAAAGTTTGCTATAATTTATTTTATATGTCATTAATTTTTTTAATATTTTCGAATTATTATTTGGCTGCTTTATATTTTGCCTGCTTCATTTTTCCTTATAACACATGTCTTCATAGCTTATTATATTATATTTACCTTAGGCTATTAATTTGTGATTACATTGGATTCCTATCGTGCGAACAAATTATTGTGATATTATACTTAATAATTGAGCATTTTAATATTGTAGGAATATTTTCATCAAATGACTTTATCTCGTAGTTAAATTTATTGAACATGATTTTTTGTATTATTTCTCAGTAAGTAAGATGTTTTAAGAAAAACTTGACATGACTATATTTTATTATTTAGATTTCCACTAAGTTTTAATAAGGTATGCCTTGTGTGTCTTGCGAAATGTACATCCAAAACTATAAAATTTTTGTTCAAATGTTTTCAAACCTAAATGTACACGATACCCATTTGATTCAAAATAAATTTCAAAAACTTATATTTTTAGAAACCACATATGTACATTTTTTTTTCTTAAAGTCGTTTTACAATTTGTAATATCAAAATGCATAAATGTTGAACTTCCTTGTGCATTACTATTGATTTTATTGTGATGTTTCACAATTCTAAACATGTATTTAAACAATATTGACTCTAGAAATAAAAAGCAATTGCCATTATAGTTCCATTATTATTTGTAGTACCTATATTGGATCTAAAGTGAAGTAAAGATCCACCTTATTGATGGTCAAAACTGTTTCTACTCACATTTAAAGCAAATAAAAAAATGAAAAAAAATACATATTTTTTTATTAATGATACGTTGCAAGTATTCCTATTTCTTTAAAAACTGTATTCTGCAGATACAAAGAATTAGTTTAGATGGCGAACAAAAAGTGCTTTTTAATTTATTGCAGATTACGAAATTGTGCTTTCAAAACGGGGTACCAACATGCTTCTCATGAAGGGGCACAGATACGGATTGAGGACGCAGAAAGGCTACCAGACCAGGTGGAGGTGCGTCAAGCACAGTCGCAACTGCAAATCTACTGTATCCATAGTCCATGGTCGCATCGTCGCCATAAAAGAACACAACCATTGAATCGGTTTGCGATAAAGGCAAATTCATTAACTCCTACATAAAATGTATACGGAAAAATCTACAAGAAAAAAACCCGGCCAAGTGCGTGTCGTGTCACGCGCAGTGTACGGTTCCGTAATTGCCTGTAGTTACCACACCATGATTTGAGCAGGACTCTTTATTTTCTATATCGGAAACTAGAATAACAGTCAGTCTATGTATCTCAACTAAAATACCTGCATCGAAGTCAAACTGCATATATATTTTTTTAAATACGAATAATAAATAATAATCGCCGATTTTTTTTTGTTTCCTCCCAGGCGTGAAATAAATAAATAAATTGGGTGTGAAATCCTCTTATATACTCTACAGCTGGCTGCAAGCTTATGTCAGACTTAAATTTTAACTAATCTTCTTTATTAAACAACGTTTAATTACACATTTTACTAACATATCCTTATAATATTACTTATTTTGATATATGTTATTAAATGTAAGTAGGATAATGGAGTGTCTAAATTATATTTCGTATGTATACATAATTCACACAAGTGTCCTTTTAAGAAATCGATTTTCCATTTATTTATTGATATAAATAAGTGTGAGTGTTCTGTTGATTGATATTCTTGATTGTGTTTTAAGAAAATTATACAATTAAATTAACATTATAAGCCATAAACTTACATCCATATACCCAGCTAATAAGTACCTATGTAACAATAATCCAACACACTGTTTTTAATTAAAAAAAAAGTCTAGTGTTCAAGACATTGTATTGTAATGTACAAATTTTATGAATGAAGTGGATTTTTCAAAAAAAAATGTTTTAATAATATTGTGCTATTGTTGTTTAATACTATAATTTATCAAAAACATTTTCGTCATATAGTATATTGTATTTGACTAATCACAATCCTAAAGTGATATTATTGATCGAAAGCTTCCTCCCGCTTACGACAGGTATTTTCTTAATAAGGCCACATGTGATAGGCTATTAAAGCGATGGCATTTACGTTCTTCTATGGTAATGATGTACAAGTTGTAAGGCCTTCTCTGATACGTAGTAACCTATCTGTCGTTGTAACCATTCTGTGGTTTCGCTTCCGAGCGACAGTGCGTGGAACGCGTTCGTCCACTAAGACATCATTGACAAGTCAATTGTGTCTACCTTTTGCAAAGGGCTTGTTTTCAGCGGTCAATGAAATTGCGAACAAAACCTCACCACGCACTTCGGGAAGAGGGGCGACTGTGGAATTTTGTATTTTTTTTTGTGACTCTTACTAGTAATGATTGGTGTTGTTTGTTTCTTTTTATATAATTTTAGCGCCATCTTGAGTGTCTATTTTCAACAAACGATAATAGGCAGGTGCGTTGCCGTCCGTGGTTATCTACCGTGTCGGCAATTTCACGGACCGTGGTAAGCTGACTTAAGAATGACTCACGCTAGACCGTGTCGGGTTCCTGCCGAGCTTCGAATACAGCAAATAATCGAATGAATTGATTAGTTTTAACAATAAAGCTAAAGATCAAGCTAAAAAGTAAAAAAATAATAATACCGATTAGATTTGAAAATCTATTCCATCAGTCTAGCCCTCGCCCGTCTTCGGCCCGATATTATTTTATACTATTTTCCCATTTTATATTTGTGTTTTTATGTTATGTTTAAAAATGATTTTTATTTCATCTATTTTGATGAAAATACATCATCAAAGTTAGCAATTAACAAAAAAATAATTATAAAATTAATTAGCCGTGTACTACGCAATACTTCGAGGCATGTTTAAAAAGCCCACGGACAGCTCACGCAAAACGATAAGACACACGAGACTGACATCACCGTGAGGTCTGCTCGGGGACCGTGTTGAGACGTGCGTCTGTGGACGTGTGTCATTTCTGTAGCCTCCTTCTGTTAGATTTATTATCTGTGTGTCGATTCTAGCGTGATTCTCTAAACCTAAACTTAAATTTGACAACAGTGTATCCTTGTCATTCTCTATACAGTATAAAAAGGAGGAGTGATGTTAAATTTAGTTTTAACTTTAGAGAATCATGCCAGAATCGACACTAGTTTCTCCATATATGAATTATGATATATTAGTGGACCGTGCTACGGCCGACGCGACGCTCGGTTCGGACCCGACACAGTCTAGTCTAGAGTGAGTCGTCCTTTAAGAGATAGCGAAAAGCAAGACTGTATGTCACATGTACTCGAATATATGATTATTTAAAGATTAAACAATTTCAGGTCTCCATTTTGAATTTTTAACGGTACACAAGAATGTGAAACACGTGATGGTCAAAGGTTATAAATACAGCCTACAGTCGGTGAAGAACGGAAAAGGTAGGTGGAGATGTCTGAAGCAAAGAAGAGGATGCACTGCTATGTTGGCCACAATCAATGACGTCATAGTCAGGATCAAGAATGATCACAATCATGGCCCGTGCGAGGCCAAATATTAGATGATGATTTAGATATAAATATATTTTCTTTCAGATACTGGAAGTGAAAATTGTTAATAGTGTTTACTAATATCAAAAGTCTTTAAGAGCCCTTTTACAAAATTGCGCCGGTGCCGTACTGATCGGCGCGTAGGTAGATTTGCACTAGTAATATTGCATTTTACAGGTGATGTTTCGAGTCTTACAAAATAATTATTAATGCACTAATTATGAAAATATATGCATATTTCAGTAGTTCAATGATAGTAGATGAGTTTTATGAAAGTTTTTGATAGTAATTCTATTTAATTCAGTATCAAAATACGAGGTAAACCTGCATTATTTTTTGGGAAAACACACGGAGGTTAGATGATGAATTAATCTACTGTTTACTTCTATTGGAAATAGTCAAAATCTTTTCAAAGGGGGTAAACGAGGTGTTCAAAAATTACGATTTTTTGCAAAAAAATGTGAAAGGGCTCTGAAGGTAAAAATTGCTTGCACTTGATATTTGACAATTAATAACAATTCCTTTTCTTTGTCGAAGTTACGCACAAGCAATTGTTGCCTGAAAGCATCGCCAGATAATATAAGATAAAACAATATTTGTTTATAGTTATAAAATGTCGTTATATTTTATTTTTATTTTATTTATTTAATCTTTATTACCTTCTCAATGCAAATGGCGGACTATGTTAAGAACGAAATAAAATAGCTTTTAATACTATACGTATACCTTAACTTACCTAGTCAGGTCACAAATTCTTTCACATGTTTAATATAAAAAATTGAAACAAGTTTATTCATTATGTAACCATTTATATACCAAAATGAACTTAACAAAACATAGATTCTTATGACAATAAAGTTTATTCAAAATGACCTCCGTGATTTTGAATCTGCGGGGCCAGTCGTCTATCCCAGCACGAACGAGGTCCATGTCAATATCGGCGGCTGCCTTAATTAAGGATGTCTTGGGTGACTCCAAATTGGGATGAGGCTTTGAGCACGCCTTTTCCTCCAAGTGTTGCCATATCTTGTAATCTATCGGACTCAAATCTGGACTGGAGGAGGGCCTATCTTCGTGCCGGTTGAAGTCGATTTCACGCGCCGCCAGCCAGTCTTGTGTGCTCTTCGCTCTATGTGCTGGCGCCGAATCTTGTTGGAATACCCAGTGCCTGTTATTGAACATGGTATGAGAAATAGGTTCCACAAGGTTCGTCAGGACTGTATTTTGATACACAACTACATTCGTTTTTACACCTTTCTCACAAAAATGTACCTCTGTTAAGCCCCAATAAGAAACTCCCAACCATACCATGAGCGAGGATGGAAAATGACCTCGTTGGACACGCGGAATACGATTGCTCGCTTCTTCACTACTGTGTACGTACACCTTATCATTTTGTTTGTTGTAGCTCTCTTCTAGGGTAAAAATTTTTTCATCCGAAAAAAGAATTTCCCGATATTTTTTCCCGCGTACAGCTTCAACAAAGCGCGGCATCTCTTCAGTCTCAGGTTCATTAGACGAGCATTCAGACGATGTCCTCTTTTTCTTCCCGAAGCGCTAAGTCTTCATTTAACACCCTTTTCACCGTGGTTCTGCTTAACCCCATCTGAAGGGCCAACAGTTTCTGCTTACGTTTGGAATTTCTTTGAATTCGCGCCTTCACAGCTTTTATCACTGCTGGAGTCCTAACAGACCAAGGGCGACCACTTCTTGACCTGTCATCTACACTAGTCTTCATTGTATCGTTTGATGGTACGATAAACGAAACTTTTGGTTATATTCAAAATTTTCAGTATGTCAAAAATTTGAATTGGCGCGTAACCGCAACGATGCAACGCAATAACTGCAACACGGTCTTCTTTAAGCGTCCACTGCATAAAATTTTTATTTTCATGAACAATTCGAAATTCGAATTCAATAAACTTTTTTGTGGCCAGCATTCTAAAAGAAAAGTTTTTACTGTGTGACAATACTTATGACCTGACTGTGTATAAATATACATTATCACCCACAAAGATATATATAAATAAAACATATCCAAATATAATATTCAGTATCTGATTATAGATACTATTGTAATTCAGTTTAAGCACTTTGTGATAAATTAAAATAATGTTACCGCGCCAAGTCCTAAACGCAATCCTGTTTACGCGCGTGTAGAGGAATTGCATTCCAGAGCCAAATGTCAGAAAGCGTGTATGAAGCGCGTATGTGTGTGTGACAATCCTAGTATGGTGAATGTGTACTTTAAGTATTAAATTATATTACGGAACAAAGGGTAGGTGCTTAGGCTTGTAAACAGAATGTGCTTATACTAAAATATTTAAATACTTCTATCATAAATTTACAGATTTTTATAAACGCCCAGCAGTCTTAAATTGTAATTCCTTTCAGTGATAGGTACTTACTTTAAGTAGAAACGACTACACAATGTTTACTAATTAAGTTTTTGTTGCCGCTCTGAATTGCAGTTATCGACCAAAAAACGTCCATTTGTGACAAGTGATAATTAGTTCTTTTAAAAGCATTATGATTAAATGTTTCAAGCCATAAAAACGATTCATTTATTTCTTTTATTTTTGCAATAAAAATAATAGTATTCAAAAGTATTGCAATTAATACTGATAATTTTAGAAGTTGAATAGTAGAAACATGCCACAAAATTAGAATTGTTTTGCACACCTAGCGTCCAAACATGCCTGGAGGGCTTAGCCAATTTGTCACTTTGAAGTCTTTGAGTGTTAAATAAGGAGGTAATAAACCACTCTAAAGTCTGTGACTTGTAGTTCAATGACCACTGAGCTTCATACCCTTTAATATTGTGTTATTAAATGAGTGGTGGTATAAAAATTAAAGTAACATGTAAAATAAGTTAAGCTTGCAACTTAATTATATGTTTTTCTATTTACAGGTAACCAATACCCTATATACAAAACGGGCAAAGTGCAACACACCATCATTGATGGTTTCAAATTCAGCGTACAACGCAGTAAAAAGAAACGCTTCAGGTGGCGATGCGTCAAGCAAAGGGATGGCTGTAAAGCTTGCTTCTCTACGTTTAACAACTTCATTTACTTGATAAACAATGAACATAATCACCGTCCTTTAATCTGCCGCTATAAATATGAAAGGGAATTCGACTAACGAAAAGTCCTCGCAAAATGGATAGTGGACTAAAATAACAAATGAAAAACAACTATTATTGACAAAATGCTTTATGTACATTTTTGTATAGAACATTTTAATTACTAAGATATAGAGAAGAGCCTTTTTTGACCAAGAGCTACTGAACCCTCCGAGTAACGGTCTGTCTGTAAGGCTAGAAATTCTTATGGTGATGAGTCATAGCATGCTTAGTACGGTAAGCATCGCCTGGCACTCCTCAGCCCTGCACGTCATCATTATAATATTAGATATTAAGTTTTCATACTACGACTCTTACTCGCACTGCCGCAGCATCTTTCCCCTGGCCTGGCAAGGACTTGCTAGCCAGAACTTTCAAAAATATACGGCTTGATGACGTGCAGGGCTGAGGAGTGCCAGGCGATGCTTACCGTACTAAGCATGCTATGACTCATCACCATGAGAATTTCTAGCCTTACAGATAGACCGTTACTCGGAGGGTTCAGTAGCTCTCCTACTATTTAGCGCTTGTCTGTTTTCTTTGCATTCCAATTGTGAATTAAATGATATAAAATATACACTGTTTATTAACGATGGACCAAATATTTCGCTATGGTATTAGCATACCTACAGTAATCAGCACGAAATAATAGGCCCGTTTTGACATTTGTAATTAGTGATGTAACCATACGACTCTGTACACGATACTCACGATAAATCAATTCAAGTTCGTATGAGTATTTGATTAATTTGATTATGTATTGATATTAGCTCATTATATTTTGAACTTAAACTTTAATATTGTAGGTGATTTGAAATTATACAATGGTGCGAAACATCAATTAGTTAATTTAAAATTTTTATAACAATTACATTCTCAATTACAAATAAATCAAGGAAACGTAAGTGATTGAATCTTAAATCAATAATTTTCTTCTGATGATGAGGCAAAATCGTCAAATGAGCTATCGTCGCCGCCTATATACATATATACCTTATTTTATTTTCTAATGATACAATGGTACGAAAGGTCATTCAGTTAATTTGAATTTTTTGTTACAATTACATTCGCTCAATCACAAATACATCAAGGAAAGCGAAAGTGATTGAATCTTAAATCAATAATTTTCTTCTGATGATAAGCCAAAATCGTCAAATGAGCTATCGTCGCCGCCTGTATACATATATAATTATTTTATTTTGCCTGTATATATATAGTCGACGAAAAATATTAAAGGAAGATTATGGCAGAGACGTTACTGATGATAATATTAGATATATTAGTGTCTATTCTACCACTTTTATCTTCGTTAGTGATTTTGGCACAAGCAATATCATCATTTTAGTGAAGAATGCTGGCTTTCTATTATATTTTTGGAGTTTTTGCAAGTATTAGCTGATAGATAGATTAAAGCGAACATGTAAATATTAACTTACGCTCAGCGATCCTATATGCAGTGATCGTATTAATTTTATAATTTTTACACCCTAATTTTGAAATAACAAATGCTAAGGCGAGTTATGTAGTGAATAAGGACAAAATAAGGACATATAAGTAGTTCTTCATGATATGTAATTACTATTATAAAGTTAATAATTTAAATGAATCTTTTAAAGAATTTATCAGGAACCTGTTTTTGTATGCTAAAAATTAATGGTTTTAAACATGAAATAAAAAGTTTCCGCAAACATATTCTATAAGCATGACCATAATTTAATATGATTTTTTTTTTATTTTTTGAATTCTATATCTCCAAATTATCTATTCGATAAATTTTATGACAAACTGCATGTCTCTAATGACAATGAAGAACAATAAATATTTGTTTCAAGTTTAGAACTAATTTCGAATATTAAACTTTATGGGTGCACAAATGTCAAAACGGGCCGATTATTTTGTGATTACTTCAATACCAATTTTATAATTTAGGGCGCTTTCAATTTATGCGTTTCTTGACGGCCTGCTGTGGTGCCGAAGCGGTGCGTTTGTAGTATAGCGTACGGACGATCCTTTTTTTTCATACAAAACGCGAGGTGCGGCAACGGTCCTGTCACGGTAATATTATCTATACAGTATTGTGACTCCGCCCTGTCCTTGAAAATAAATGCCTACACCTAGCGCTGCGTTGGCACGCGGTAGGGCCGCCCGTCTACAGTATTTTCTGTAGTTTTGTTTTTAACGCGAGTGTAGGTAGATTACTCGTTTGTCTCTTTTGTCATCCTAACCACCTATTTATATATTATTCCAGATATTTTGCCCGATGGAAAAATCGAAATACCTAAATATTAGAAACAAATAACGTACTAGTAGATAGGTACATAAAAATATTCTATAAAGGTAAGACACCTTTCCAATATTTCAGGTAATTTAAAAAATGATATCTCTAGGTGTGTTATTGAAGAGTTCAAGCAACCAAAAACAGCAATTGTGCTGTTGTACGATATTAATCGTCGTTTGTTCTTTTCCATACTAAATTATGTAGGTATCTACTTAATTAAATCAAATATTTACAATACAAAACGCACGTTTAAGCACGGCTAACTGCATAAAAAACAATTCAGACCGTTCGGTCGTCGTTGCGGCGCGGCGGCGCATTCGCGACTGGGTGCCCGCCGAGAGCACATCGAACTCGAGTGGCGTAGGTATGACTCGCTTTCCGATGAAGAAAGCGTTTTGTATGAAGATAGAATACTGTATGATATTATTACCGTGGTCCTGTTGTCGAGCGTTCGCGGTACCGGCGCCGCGTACGCTGTACGACAAACGCACCGCTTCGGCACCGCAGCAGGCAGTCAAGAAACGTATAAATTGAAAGCGCACTTAAAGTATTCTTAGTCAATTACTCACTAATTTTTTGCATTATCTCATGTAAGATAATACATTTTATATTATATTTATTGAATGACTATCTATGTTAAATATTTCATTAATAATTTTGAACGAATGAAATGCTGAGTTAGGGTTAATAATAATAAAAAGGATTAATCAGTAGTCATCGGTTTATTAAATGCCTTTCCCTTATTTTATGTAACTGTACGAACACTCAATAGTTCGTAGTGGGTATATATTACTTTAGAAAAACTATACTTCTAAAAAATTACCTAAAGTAAAAGGTGTTATGAATATGTTCACTGTAATAATGTTGAAATAGAAGAGATTTATAAATAAAATACTGAACATGACACTATATCTTTTATTATATGATGGTAAAAGATAGGTATTTAATATACCTTAATATTGTTACCTATAGGTCTCTGTCTATGTAACGTGGAGAGTCACCAGGATTTCACTAAACCCGTTCCGGCAGGCGATGAAGCACTGTTGGGTTTTTAGTGGGTAGACCCTCTCCCCCCTGAATAATACTGTATATTATATTTTAACATTGAATATTTTAAAGTCGTTTTATTTTAATACTTAACTCCTATTTAACAGCATTGTGGAACCATATTGAAAAACTAATAATGCGTTTACAACAGACAAACAAATGAAGAATTCCACAGACATGGCCAAACATTATAAGTCTATATACTATTACTGCCGGAACCTAAACATTATCGTAGGGCTTATTATTTTCTTTGCTTCAATTTTTGCTTTTATTTCGTTACAGAATGGAATCCAAGTAATCAGTTTATGCAACAGTGCCAGATAATTTCAGTTGTGAGTGGCCTATCGGTTCAAATGGCCGAAATAAACAAGAAAATCTTTGAACGCACAGGAGAAACATTCAGAATAAATACAGATGACCAAGAAATTTTGGATTTATTGGATGGTCTTCCAGTGAAGGATGATGCAGGTTTTGATAATTTCAACGAGCAATTAAAGATAAACCACACTAAACAGGCAATGGTAAGAGCTCCGCGTAAACTTCGAGTTGGCCGAACCACCATCCCCGCATCACCGCGCTCCTAGACATACCCTATTTGGTCGACATTACCAGTAACCTTAGTACGAGTTTACAATTACGAAAACTATGATAGTTTTCGTGAACTCGCACTCGTACTAAGGGTACTGATTTTATTGTTTTCGTTTAATACAAATAAACAGTGTTTATATTCTATCATTAAATCATATGCGTCTTCTTAAATTTTAAGTTTATTTGATTACTTTTCACCAAAATGGACATAGGAACATAATTTACAATTACGAAAACTAACATAGATAACAAGGGTACTCTACTGTAGTACGAGTTTGAGCTCACGAAAACTAGTTTTCGTAATTGTAAATTATGTCCATTTTGGTGAAAAGTAACCAAATATACTTAAAATTTAAGAAAACGCAAATGATTTAATTGATGACGGAATTTAAACACTGTTTATTTGTATTGGAACGAAAACAATAAAATCAGTACCCTTAGTACGAGTGTGAGCTCACGAAAACTATCATGCCTGTGATTGACCATTGCCACATTTTGTAACGGTCATCGACGGCCAACTCGAAGCTAACGGGTAATAGAAAGAATCATTCACCTAAGTGTAAAAGTATTTTTTCTTATTGTGACTTTAATTTGAAATGTTTTTCAGATGAGATTTTTTAAAGGTTTTGGTGGTCAAAACGTAAGAAATTTTATTAACAACATGTTAAAAATGGTATTAATGGATGAAGTTGCTTTAATGTATTCCTTAACAGGAATACGAACTACCAAAAAAGCATTTGTAAACACAGAAGTATTTAAATTGATATATCGTAAGTATATTTTAGATACCTACTTAACTGTCCATGTTTTCTGTTATGTAACCTACATGATAATTTTACAGAACTCTGTAAAACAGTACACGAAGACGTGAAAGATGCTTTCATCAAAGAGATTATTGGTAATTGGCTAAATCAAGCCAAAGTAAGACTAACTAGAAGGTAAGATTTAGATTATTCTACTGTCTTTGCATTACTGGATATGTAATACTTGACGAAACTGTTAAATTTTATGATATCAAAATATAGTAGATAGATAGTCGGGTCACAAAAACGTATTGGAATCGTTACACCGGGTCTAATTTAGAACCCATTAAATTCAGTAAATTAAACTAATATATAATAATTATAACCTATTTCAAGTTTGCAAATATTTTGGTAATTTCAAACTCATTAACAATTACAAATTTTACGACGAAGTGGTTATCAATAAGTTGAGGTTGCGTGTGCTCAAATACAAGTGGGAAATTACCTTTGACCTGATTGTTCTAAAAAGGTAGCTTTATTAAAACCTTTTCATAAATAATCTCGTTAATTTGTTACAGAGGACATAAGGAGGTAAGGTTAATGAGGATATAAGTGAATAATAAAAATCCTAGAAGATGAAGAAAGAAACTAGAAATATATAAGTAGTCATTAATTCAAAATGGTACAAAAACGTACGGGGCTTAGGTTAAGTATACAACAATGTACTTGTGTGAATATATTAGTACCTACAGTAGTATAGTACAGTATATTATACTTTATTTTATACTCAATGATCCGAAGACCGGTTGATATGAAATGAGAATATACCACCAAGGTTATTGACAGTTGTGGAAAAGGGTATGATATTCCCATCAAAAGTTACAGGAGGCAGCCGTTCAATGTTGATCCAGGAATCGAAGTAAGGACTGCCTATTAAAATTGTTTGCATCTTCGCGGGGTTAACAGTTAAGCCGAATGACTTACTCCAGTTACTGATCAAAGCAAGATTTGAATTATTAACCGCTATTGCATCTGAAAGGTCAGATAACGGCGTCTGCGTGTGTGTTTGAAGGTCGTCGGCGTAAAGGTGATAGGAACTGAACAGTGAGTGTGTGATAGAATTTATGAAAATAGAGAAGAGTACAGGAGATAAGACGCCACCCTGAAGAACACCGTCATCGATAGCGCACTGCGCAGAGAAGTTTTCGTCGGTGCGTATACGCTGCCGCGCCCCAGCAGGCAACTTTGAAATCAATTAATCACGAACGATGTCAAAATCAATGGATTTAAAAGCGTTGCTGAAGTCAAGCAATGTCAGCAGTGTAAATTAGCGATTTTCCATGCCATGTCGAATATCGTCTGCAATTTTAACTAATGCAGTAGATGTGCTGTGTACCCGTACGAAAGGCAGATTGATATGGGTTAATGAGTTGGTTCTGGTTAAGGAAAATAATAAGTTGTCGATGTACAAGTTTTTCTAGGACCTTGGAAAGGAAGGGAAGACTGGAAATAGGACAATATTCTAAAAATGGGGCAGGATTGGATTTTTTAGGAAAAGGGATAACATAGGCGTCTTTCCAGGCTGCAGGAAACACACCGGTAAAAATTGAAGTATTGAGATTATGGGTAATAATGGAATATAATAATGAGTTAATATTGAATAAATAACAAAAAAATAATATTAATGAAATGCCAATCTAAAAATGTCAAAACAAGTGCATTATCAAAGGCAGCACTCGTACCTTCTGCTTAGGGTCCTGAGTTCGAACCCGGAGAGGGGAATCTTTTTGGCGTGATGAGCACAAATATTTCTACTGGTTTTTTGTCCATGACCAAGGGTTAGTCGCCGAGGCACGACGAATCTAGCTAGCGCTGAGCATTTTCAATACGCGATCGCTCATCTTCCTAGAGTAACGTCACTGTCTGTAGTATATGTAATTTCTGCATTAGACAATCTTATAGGCCTTATAATATTATGCGAACCGTTGTTATAACTATACCTAAAAACATAACTGGTGATATTTCTGACAGGAGCAACTACAGGCCTATATCACTGACCACAAAGATGTTTGATTGTTTGTTAGATCGTCAACCTATATTATTATGAGCCTTATTTGTGTTAAAAGAATCCTAATTACATTATGATAGGTATTTGTAAATAAAATATTCTTTTGTATTAAGAATACTCAATTTTTAATAATACGATCTAATACAATGCTTAGTTGTATAAACTGTGTTTATATTTTAAAAAACACCCTTTCCTTTTTATCATTTCAGTGTGACGATAATGCATGTTGAATTTTCACAATCACAATTATATTATGAATATCAGCAAAGATCTAAAGATCTAAACTCGGTAGAGTATGTCAGCCTCAGCCAAGTTCGAGAAGCAAATGGGTGACACAAAGGCCGTGGGTTTATAATTACTCTATTGTTAAAAAATTTTTTTCAGTGTTACTAACAATGTGATTATTAATTTTATTTTCAGGGGAACTCACATATATAGTTACAGGCAAAGGAAAAGTGGGTGTGCAATATAATGGATATCAGTATCACAAGACATATGTCAATTCTAATGGTGTTGTTACTTGGACCTGCAGTCAAGAAACGCATAAATTGAAAGCGCCTTTAAAGTATTCTTAGTCAATTACTCACCAATTTTTTGCATTATCTCATGTAAGATAATACATTTTATATTATATTTACTGAATGACTATGAATGACTATCTATGTTACATATTTCATTAATAATTTTGAACGATATGAAATGCTGAGTTAGGGTCAATAATAATAAAAAGGATTAATCAATAGTCATTGGTTTATTAAATGCCTTTCCCTTATTTTATGTAACTGTACGAACACTCAATAGTTCGTAGTGGGTATATATTACTTTAGAAAAACTATACTTCTAAAAAATTACCTAAAGTAAAAGGTGTTATGAATATGTTAACTGTAATAATGTTGATCCTCCCTTTATAAATAGAAGAGATTTATAAATAAAATACTGAACATGACACTATATCTTTTATTATATGATGGTAAAAGATAGGTATTTAATATACCTTAATATTGTTACCTATAGGTCTCTGTCTATGTTACGTGGAGAGTCACCAGGATTTCACTAAACCCGTTCCGGCAGGCGATGAAGCACTGTTGGGTTTTTAGTGGGTAGACCCTCTCCCCCCTGAATAATACTGTATATTATATTTTAACATTGAATATTTTAAAGTCGTTTTATTTTAATACTTAACTCCTATTTAACAGCATTGTGGAACCATATTGAAAAACTAATAATGCGTTTACAACAGACAAACAAATGAAGAATTCCACAGACATGGCCAAACATTATAAGTCTATATACTATTACTGCCGGAACCTAAACATTATCGTAGGGCTTATTATTTTCTTTGCTTCAATTTTTGCTTTTATTTCGTTACAGAATGGAATCCAAGTAATCAGTTTATGCAACAGTGCCAGATAATTTCAGTTGTGAGTGGCCTATCGGTTCAAATGGCCGAAATAAACAAGAAAATCTATGAACGCACAGGAGAAACATTCAGAATAAATACAGATGACCAAGAAATTTTGGATTTATTGGATGGTCTTCCAGTGAAGGATGATGCAGGTTTTGATAATTTCAACGAGCAATTAAAGATAAACCACACTAAACAGGCAATGGTAAGAGCTCCGCGTAAACTTCGAGTTGGCCGAACCACCATCCCCGCATCACCGCGCTCCTAGACATACCCTATTTGGTCGACATTACCAGTAACCTTAGTACGAGTTTACAATTACGAAAACTATGATAGTTTTCGTGAACTCGCACTCGTACTAAGGGTACTGATTTTATTGTTTTCGTTTCAATACAAATAAACAGTGTTTATATTCTATCATTAAATCATATGCGTCTTCTTAAAATTTAAGTATATTTGGTTATTTTTCACCAAAACGGACATAGAAACAGAATTTACAATTACGAAAACTAACATAGATAACAAGGGTACTGTACTGTAGTACGAGTTTAAGCTCACGAAAACTATCATGCCTGTGATTGGCCATTGCCAAATTTTGTAACGATCATCGACAGCCAACTCGAAGCTAACGGGCAATGGAAAGAACCATTCACCTAAGTGTATAAGTATTTTTTCTTATTGTGACTTTAATTTGGAATGTTTTTCAGATGAGATTTTTTAAAGGTCTTGGTGGTAAAAACGTAAGAATTTTCATCAACAACATGTTAAAAATGGTATTAATGGATGAAGTTGCTTTAATGTATTCCTTAACAGGAAAACGAACTACCAAAAAAGCATTTGTAAACACAGAAGTATTTAAATTGATATATCGTAAGTATATTTTAGATACCTACTTAACTGCCCATGTTTTCTGTTATGTAACCTACATGATAATTTTACAGAACTCTGTAAAACAGTACACGAAGACGTGAAAGATGATTTCGTCAAAGAGATTATTAGTGATTGGCTAAATCGAGCCAAAGTAAGACTAACTAGAAGGTAAGATTTAGATTGTACTAGTGTCTTTGCATTACTGGATATGTAATACTTGACGAAACTGTTAAATTTTATGATACCAAAATATAGTAGATAGATAGTCGGGTCACAAAAACGTATTGGAATCGTCACTCCGGGTCTAATTTAGAACCCATTAAATCCAGTAAATTAAACAAATATGTAATAATTATAACCTATTTCAAGTTTGCAAATATTTTGGTAATTTCAAACTCATTAACAATTACAAATTTTACGACGAAGTGGTTATCAATAAGTTGAGGTTGCGGGTGCTCAAATACAAATGGGAAATTGCCTTTGACCTGATTGTTTTAAAATGGTAGCTTTATTAAAACCTTTTCATAAATAATCTCGTTAATTTGTTACAGAGCACAATATAAGTGAATAATAAAAATCCTAGAAGATGAAGAAAGAAACTAGAAATATATAAGTAGTCATTAATTCAAAATGGTACAAAAACGTACGGAGCTTAGGTTAAGTATACAACAATCAAGTACATTGTTGTGAATATATTAGTACCTACAGTAGTATAGTACAGTATATTGTACTTTATTTTATACTCAATGATCCGAAGACCGGTTGATATGAAATGAGAATATCACACCAAGGTTATTGACAGTTGTGGAAAAGGGTATGATATTCCCATCAAAAGTTACAGGAGGCAGCCGTTCAATGTTGATCCAGGAATCGAAGTAAGGGCTGCCTATTAAAATTTTTTGCATCTTCGCGGGGTTGACAGTTGATCCGAATGACTTACTCCAGTTACTGATCAAAGCAAGATCAGAATTAGTAACCGCTTTGCATCTGAAAGGTCTGATAACGGCGTATGTGTGTATTTGAAGGTCATCGTTGTAATGGTGATAGGAACTGAAAAGTGAGTGTGTGATAGAATTTGTGAAAATAGAGAAGAGTAGAGTAGATAAGACGCCACACACCGAACACCGGTATCAATAGCGCACCACGCAGAGAAGTTTTCCTCGATGCGTATACGCTGCCGGCGCCCCAGCAGGTAACTTTGAAATCAATTAATCACCATTGAAGATATGTGAAGAGAACGAAGAATGACAAGAAAGATGTCAAAGTCAATGGAGTTAAAAGCGTTGCTGAAGTCAACCAATGTCAGCAGTGTAATTTAGCGACTTTCCATGCCATGTCGAATATCGTCTGCAATTTTAACTAATGCAATAGGTATGCTGTGACCCGTACGAAAGGCAGATTAAAATAGGTTCATGAATTGATTCTGGTTAAGGAAAACAATAAGTTGCCGATATACAAGTTTTTCCAGGAACTTGGAAAGGAAGGGAAGAATGGAAATAGGACGATGTTCTATTTCTGAAAAACAGGCAGGCTTGGATTTTTAAGGAATCGGGATAATATTGGCGTCTTTCCAGGCTGCAAGAAACACACCGGTAAAAATTGAAGTGTTGAGAATATGGGTAATAATGGAATATAATAATGAATGAATATTAATGCAATGCCAATCTCAAAATGTTAAAACAAGTGCATTATCAAAGTTGGTGCAACGGCAGCGCTCCTACCTTCTGCTCAAAGTCCTGAGTTCGGAATTTTTTGAGCGTGATGAGCACAAATATTTCTACTGTTTTTTTGTCCATGACCAAGGGTTAGTCGCCGGGGCACTAGCGCTGAGCATTTTCAGTACGCGATCTCTCATCTTCCTAGAGTAAGGTCACTGTCGTACATATATGTAATTTCTGCATTAGACATTCTTATAGACCTTATGATATTATGCGAACCGGTGTTATAACTATATCTAAAAAATGGTTGCCTGTAAAGTCGGTTTTACGGGCGAAGATTTTACGTGACAACGTCTTTTTCTCGGTAGAATATTTATTGATATGAATATAATTAAATTGCACAATAGGAACAAGGAATTGAATGAAAATAAGAATTGCACAAATTTTAACTATAGAAATATATTTTGTTTACTAAAACATTGTACATGTAAACTTAAACTCATCGTAACGTTACCGAGCGTTACACTTTTTCATAAGTGACTCCCAGCCGCAACCTAATTTAAGACGTTGTCACGTCAAAACAGAACTGGTGATATTTATAACAGGAGCAACTACAGGCCTATATCACCGACCACAAAGATGTTTGATTGTTTGTTAGATCGTCAACCCATATTATTATGAGCCTTATTTATGTTAAAAGAATCCTACTAATAATACCTATCATAATGTAAGAAAGTACTGAGGAGCTTTAGCCAGAGTGGATAGAACTCAGGGACGTAACTACTAATTAAAAGATACTGGTAGAGATAAGTTATTTTATATTTGATTCAGGCGAATATAATTATTTTTATCTAACTACGAGAGGTTTGGTTGGTGCCTGAAGATCTTCTCTTGTATGGAACCTTCTATCAAGAGACAGACGATTCCTTATTTCAAATCTTAAAATCATGACATTAACTTTTTAATATAACTGCCAACCGTAGGCATCGCAAGAGCAAAGAGTTTACCTAAACAAGGAGGCAGTAACGTAACGGACGTTACAGTACTTACATTATGATAGGTATTTGTAAATAAAATATTCTTTTGTATTAAGAATAGTCAATTTTAATAATACGATCTAATACAATGCTTAGCTGTATAAATTGTGTTTATATTTTAAAAAACACATCCTTTCCTTTTTATCATTTCAGTGTGACGATAATTCATGTTGAATTTTCACAATCAGAATTATATTATGAATATCAGCAAAGATCTAAAGATCTAAACTCGGTAGAGTATGTCAGCCTCAGCCAAGTTCGAGAAGCAAACGGGTGACACAAAGGCCGTGGGTTTATAATTACTCTATTGTTAAAAATAATTTTTCAGTGTTACTAACAATGTGATTATTAATTTTATTTTCAGGGGAACTTGCATATATAGTTACATGCAAAGGAAAAGTGGGTGTGCAATATAATGGATATCAGTATCACAAGACATACGTCAATTCTAATGGTGTTGTTACTTGGACCTGCAGTAATAAGCAGTGCAGAAACAGAATTAAAACCAAAGGGACAGTTGTCGTGTGCAAGGGAAAAGCTCATTATAACCATTAACTTTTTCATTTTATTTATATTTTAAGCATTTAACTGCTAGATTTGTATATATAGAGAAAATTTCACTAGAACAAATTCCATGCGGTCTGGGTACCAGGCATCAGACAGCATTATAACCTGCATTTTGCGGAAGCCAGATTTTTTCTAGTAAAATTTTCTAATAGGTATTAACTTTTCACCAACCATATCTGATGAAACCTCCGAGCAGCGCGCACGTCTCTGCTGCTCTATGGATGAAACGTTATTAGTGTTTGACGAGCTCTGTGGTGTGAGTGGTGTGTACGTCATGGTATGTATGTTTCAAGGTGTCGCCTACTCAGAGGTCCTAGGTCCGAATCTCCACGGACAAATATTTGTACGATGAATAAAAGCATTTGTACTTAATTATACATTATGATAATATACAAATTCATCTCCAAAATATTGTGTGATTAGTGCATTTAAAAAAAAGTTTCGTTGTAAATTTTGTATATGTAATGTTTATATAGTTAATGATCAAACGAACTTACCTAAGTGAAGTTTGATCTGAATTGTCCTATTATCGCTGCAAAGTAAAGAAAAATAAAATAAATAAAAAAATTAACAGGACAATACAAATTATATAATTATGTATCAAAGTATAAAGATAACTTAAACATTTTTAGCTCGAGTTACACTGGTTGTTATTCAAGTTTATATTCAAATCTTTTGGTTATATTCAATTTTTTCAGTATGTAAAAAATTTTAATAGGCGCGTAACCGCAACGATGCAACGCAATAACTGCAATACGGTCTCTGTTAAGCCTCAATAAGAAACTCCCAACAAAAATGAGCGATGAAACATATAGGAGAGCGAGGATGGAAAATTACCTCGTTGGACACGCGGAATACGGTTGCTCGCTTCTTCACTACTGTGTGCAATACCTTATCATTTTGTTTGTTGTAGCTCTCTTCTACAGTAAAATTTTTTTCATCCGAAAAATCTTTTTCACGATATTTTTTCCCCGCGTACCGCTTCAACAAAGCGCGGCATCTCTTCAGTCTTAGGTCTATTAGACGAACATTCAAACGATGTCCTGTTTTTCTTCGATATGATTTCTTTGAATTCGCCCCTTCACAGCTTTTATCACTGCTAGAGTCCTAACAGACCGAGGGCGACCTCTTCTTGACCTGTCATCTACACTAGAGTCTTCATTGTATCGTTTGATGGTACGATAAACGAATCTTTTGGTTATATTCAAATTTTTCAGTATGTCATAAATTTGAATTGGCGCGTAACCGCAACGATGCAACGCAATAACTGCAACACGGTCTTCTTTAAGCGTCCACTCCATATTTAAAAATGAGTAAAATTCTAAAAAAGTATACATTTTTATTTTCATGAACAATTCGAAATTCGAATTCAATAAACTTTTTTGTGGCCAGCATTCTAAAAGAAAAGTTTTAATTGTGTGACAATACTTATGACCTGACTGTGTATAATATTGTTTACGATTTCTTTCTGTATTTATTTGACTAAAATATTCTTTTTCTTTTGCAAAAGGTCTTTTAATGATTGTCACTTGAAATTTATTGATCGGAGATACTTAAATAATAGGGTCATTGTTTGCAGTGCCTGCAACCAACAAGATACAGTTCGTGATGACGAGATTCGGTTACCCCTTCATAACTTGGGACAGTCACAGGTTCGTCAAGAAACTGTCGAGAGGTTTGAACACTTGGTGGGAGTGCTCGAGCAAAAAGAAATATGGTTGCAGATATATCGTTGTCACCTTCGACGACAGCCTTGTCAAAATGAATGGCTGGCACAACCATAAGGACCATTTTTATATTTTATGTGGAGTCAGCAACAGCGTTTTTGGAACGATTACAAAGGCGACTAAAGTGCGATTATTTAAGGACTTATATATAGTGTTTTAATTACAATGCACTCAGCATTGTGAATTATATTCAGTATTTGCTACGTGAACTGTGTGGCGAATAAGAAACAGTCAAGCATGAACTAGCATTATAATTTCGAACCCTATCCCGACACGTAACAATATATTTGTAATGTTTTTATTTATTTTTAAGCATTTAACTGCTAGATGTTTAAATCTAAAGAAAAGTTTACTAGAAAAAAATCCACGCGGACCAGGCAGCGGATGGGACTCGAACCCGCACCCTTCGCTATCCGGGCGAATGCACTGACCATTATGCTACCACGGCCCTATTCGCCGCGTCGAAATTTTCCTAGCCTTAAGCTGCAAGGCAGCGCCATCTCTTCGCATTGTAGGTAATCCACAATATAATAATAATAATATATTTGTTACCTTATCTTCAAGAATAGGGACAGTGCAATAAGTTGTAAGCTTTTCAGATTAATTATAGTGAAATAATTATAAGAATGGGGACTTGTCTATGCCTCTTTATTAGAATCAATATGATAGGTTGGTTTATTTAATTTCAGAACCGAAGTTCGGATTATCACAAAGAGGGAACTTGGTCGTGCAAATTGGCGAGTGGAGGTTCAACAAGCACGCCTGCTGGGGGTCCAAGGTACGATGGACTTGTATCAAGAAGAAGACAGGTTGCACCGCCGCCATTACCACTGTAGACAACGTCATCGTCAAAACCCTTGGAAAGCACAACCATTGATTAGATAAGAGCGAGATCTAAAAATAAGGAATAAAATAGAATTCATGAGTTACTTTGTGTGTAAATGTTAGCTGTTTTCATGTAAGCTTACTCAGATTGCTAATTAGAGGAAAAATAAGAAATTTTGAATTAAATGGATGAAATTATTATTTATGTTACTCATTATATGGTACATGAACAAAAAGATCATTGTTTCTTATTAGTGGGCTCATAAACTGTTATTTTTAATCCAGAATGAAATGGTATTGCATGCCTAATACTTTACAGCCGCATTATTATTTGGTTCATTTTATATGAAGTGCTTATACATTATGTTTTACACAAACCACTCATCGACAGTGAAAGATCACTCATCTAAACAGGTAATAGATATATCCCAAAACTTAATTTTGCATAACGCTATACCTACGTTATTATTTACGTGCGCTAGGTATAGTGTACATAATAAAATAATACTTCACTCTTAGTTTCTATAAACATATATTTTTTTCATTGTATGCAATGGATGCTTATATAAATGTTAGTCTTTAGATAAGATTTTAGTTTTCTTTCCCAGCTTGAATCTTTTGCAAGTTTGTCGCTGTCGTTGTCACCAGAGTTAATAAATTACGAATAGAATTTTTCATCAATGTTTTATTTTTACCAAATTAATCCTTATCAAGTTCGGTAGTATCGACTATTTACCTTTATACATGACGATAACAAGTTTCAATAGAACGAATACATAATTGTTTTCTTTTATTATTTCAGACCTTAACCCAGTGTTCGCGCAGTCCCAGAGAGGGAATCCTGTCATTATGATTGGGCAATACCGATTCAATCGTGTCAATAAATACGGTAGTAGAACAAGATGGGTGTGTGTTAAGGCAAAGGCCGGTTGTCGTGCATCACTGCACACGTTGGATAATGCCATCGTCCGAGTGTGGGGCTTCCATGATCCATTGGCTCACACCAGTGCCAATCGGTTTTGAGCCTTTGTGAGCCTAGACAGGTTATCAAGTTCCACGACGTTGATGTCATTATGGTTTAGATTCAATTTACTCAATTTTTACTTTTAAGTATTTAATTTTTGCATGAATCCCGTGTATTATTTGTATTATTAAATAATATAAGGTATATTAGTTTAGCATTATACTAAATGATTTGACAATTGTTATGAATGACTGTTAATTTTACGAAATAATGTGATAGTTAAATTAATATTGTTTCAAGAAAGTAGAAGTCTCACAGAAATCTGACTAGAAAATAGTAACGATGATTTTAATGACTTTGTGGCTTTAAATTATTATTCTGATCACACAATTGTATTCATTGGTTCCTGAAATGTTCTCACGAACTAGTACGGTAATATAAACACGGTGCTTTAATAAATGACGCTGTTTTTAAAGGACTTTACTATGAACTATGAGGCTTAAAGTTTATATCATAAATAAAATTTCAAATCGAACACGTCGGAAAGTTTATAGTCGTTTAAGATGTATTTTTAATGGTTGTAGGTTGGGTAGTACTTAAGTGTTACAACCTAATTATAAGTTTTTAGTACTACGGACTAATGTTTTCATCATTTTATTAATACAAATATAGCATCTTTCGCACTTGCAAAGTAACAAACTTAAATACATATTACTTAAGTTTCGGTGGTGGATAAAATAGTGACATACTTTTATTCAGTATTTAATCATGAGTGATGTTTATCTCAACTTCATATTTTACAATTTCATCAAAGATAAATCTGTATTTATGAATTTTACTATTGCTTGTTTTATTACCTACTTACCTGTCTTATGGCTCAATTCAAGTGACGGGTAACCAAGACAAAAATTACCCGAATACGAGTGTACTCGATTCCGTTCATTTACACTACGTCGTTTACTCGACTTCCATTTTCACTAGTATTCGGGCTAACGACTAAATGTGTGAAGAAAAAAACGACGGGTTGCACTCCGGGAGTGCCGGCAGAAGCGAAAACTTGATTATTAACGTTGTGCATTTTTGATATTTTGGAATGGTTAGGGAATAATTTTGCACGAATTGCTTTAATTTATCAGTATAAAAGCACTATAATTTATGTGGTAGAATATAATTTTTATTTATTGCGCTATGGTACACCAATATGACAATTTATATTACATTAAAAAGTTTATCTCCCAGAAATATCAACTTACATCAATCACATTTAAGCGCACCTAGCGACATCCATTGTGAAAAATGCATTTCCTTCGCAATAAAGCTGCCACCTGGACGTCGTAGATAGAGACTTAGTTCCAATATATTAAAAGTCAACAACCTTTCCTATATTATTGTTTTCGTCTTACGAATTTTCGATTAGGTCACGTGTCCTGAAGCGATCAAGCCACGTGTCCTGCCGCGAGTTTAAAATTTTTTACCCATTACAAAAAAAGTGTACAACGCCGCTAAAGAAGTTTTCACTTCAAAAACAAAGTTAATTTTGTGATTGACAAATTTGATTTGTAAATTGACTTGAGTTTCTAAAATTGAATATCACAGTGTTATATTTGATTTGCAGTAATCCAGATATGGACGAAAAAAGGTAGAATGATGCTTGAGGCCGAAGGAAGAAGGTTCACAAAAGACAGAACGCGAAATAATAAAACAAGATGGCGCTGTACTACCAGATCTCGAACAAAATGCAAATCTTTTATAATGACGTCAAACGGAGTCATCGGAAAAAGGAATCTTAACCATAATCATGTCTAGATTATAGGTATTAAATATAAAAAAGGTTGTCTTGATAACTTTATATACTGTGGAATATTTTGGTAAAATACTTAACTAATCTATTTTGCCACTTACTAAAATCACAAAGAATTAAATTTGTTACAGTACTATATAATATAAAAACACACATATTGTACAAAATAAATTCGTTAAATCTGTTTTTTTACTTCAAATGTTACAACTTCCTGTCTTATAGATTTTATAACAGGTTTTTTTACAACAATGACATTATTATGACAATACTTTATTAAGGAAATGAAATCATCTGCAATCACCATCATTTTCATTCACCATTAATTTTCTATGGAGTATGATATCCGTAATTAAAATCCATTCAATGAATAAATTGTCTGTCTTATATATAGTGATGTCTTTACAAATATAATGCTATTACGATAAAATGAATAAAACGTGTTTCGCTGTTGGAAGTGTAACAAAATACTATAAACTTTTTTTAATTCTTCCTACTACGAGGTATAACTTTAGATTTAGATTCTTCACTAATAATTTAGCAATAATAGTAAGAAAAGAAAGATGATCAATTACCTATAGATTCACACATACATAGATAGCTAAATTTTATAACAATATTGAGTTTTGATTACTTCATAAATAATATGCATTAAAAAAAGAAATAAAAGTTTTAATTCATGAACTTAGTAAAACAAAATAATATTTATGCCTACTGTATGATTTATGGTGTATTGGTAGTGACATGTTCTTTTTTGTAAATGTTGCTACTTCTGTTAAACTCTGATGAGTTTAATATAAGATATAATTTCATTTCATTTTAAAATTTAGTTATTTTACTAGGCATTAAAAATATTTACGTGTTTTTATATTGGTTGAAAAAATTTCACCGTCCACCCTTTCATAGGTATCTTATCTAACTTATAATTTTCTGTAGAAAAATACTTAACAAGAAAACATGGTAGGTTGTACTGTGTTTTACAGAGCCGGTTTTTGGAATGACAAAGATTGGAAATCCAGTGTCATTCCTTGGGAACTACCTCTATTTAATCGCGACACTGCTTGCAAGGGTCCAAATCACTATTTATTTTTAAATAGGTTTTGTAGTTTACTGTTTTAGTACGTGGAGGTTGTCCAATCTTTTAGCAATTAAAAAACCTTCAAAATAGTCACATTTTAGTGATACTTACTTGGTAAAGTATTTGGTATAAAGTGACCGGTAAAGAAATGATTAAGGTATAATTTCAGGAGGTAGATTTTTTTGCAGACGTATTTTTAATAAAATGCGAAATTTTCAGGACCATTTTTCGGTAGGTCACGGAATGGTAACCCTGTGGTACAGTTGGGTTCCTACCGGTTCTTCCTAGCACACAAGAAGCGTAGCGATGATACCAAAGCCCGTTGGATTTGCGGCGGCAAGAAAACCTTCAGCTGCCGGGCGTCAATTACCACAGACAATGATATCATTGTGAAGACCAAGAACGAACACAATCATTAAAACTGCAGACCCAGAACTGCGGAAAAAGTAGTTAATACAATGTGTTGTGTTTCTTTGCGAAGGTTCACTTGCAAAAATTTTGATATATCTCAATTTAACTAAAACTATATACATCCCATACAATAATGTGAAAATGTCAGTTTTCTATGGGTAAAATCTAGTGTTTGTTAAATCGAAATTTAGCAAATTTGCTGCAACTGGACCTAAATGTATGAAACTTTTTGATACTATTTCTAACGTGTCGCGATCCAATATACTGTTTCTGTGCCTTCAATCATATCTGTACATGCTGCTTCCAATTTGAATAAAAACAAATTTTACGGGAATTATAAGCGAAAGTCCATTAGGTACTACATACTTGTTTTCTATACAGTTTTTTACTTTTTTATATACGTACTTAATTTAAATGAGAAAAGACTGTAATGCAGATATTTTAAAAATTATTCTTCAGTTGATCGTATTGATTTGTTGTATTTAACAATTACTACTTACTGGAAGAGTTAGTTTTGTTTTCAATTCTGGCTAATAAAACGTTTTTCCAATTATTGTTCTTTTCATATATATATGATAATTAATTGTGCTTACAAATAAACTGATCTCATCAAAAAACTCTAAGCTTTTTACGATAATATATTTATACTATAATTTTAGAAACACAATCGAAAAGTTACTATTTTTAAAATCAACCAATTACATTTACGAGAACAAGAAAGATTGCATCCCAATTAACACAGCTATGAAAAAAAAACAAAATAAAACATACAGTTTCTGTAAATAATGCGCTTTGCTCAGA